CCACGGAAATGTCTTCAGACAGCGCTGGCTCTTCGGCTTTGAAACGGAGATAAGCACCGCAACCCTAGAGTCGGATTCGACTGGCTTTCGAGCAAGGGAACCTTTACCTTTACTTTAAAGGGACTATCCTCCAGGCTAGCCACTTTAAAAATAACACCAAACTAGAGGGGGGGCCCCCGCCATTTGTAGTGGACGTGTATAAGGAATAACAGTGATTATTTATGTAAATCGCAGCCGGGGGGGGGGGACCACCAGGGTCATCTGTTCCAATGCCCTGACAGCACAGGAACTACAATTATATCCCTGACAAGTCGGGATCCAACCGATATTCTAAAACCTCCAATGACAAAGAATCTACCAGTGGAAAAAAGCAAGAGCCCAGTAGCACCTCAAAGACTATATGGAGAAGTGAACCGTGACTCACGAAAGCTCCTCCCCGGCCACCAATTTTGTTAGTCTTTAGGGCGCTATTGGACTCCGGCTCTTTTCTACTGCTGGGCGGACCAGCACGGCTGCCCATATTGATCTATCTGCAAAGAATCCGCCAGTTTACCAGGGAGACTGTTCCAGTGTCCAACATACCTCATCCTCGGGAGGTTCTTCCCCAAATTGCCATCCCACTAAACTCCTGCAGAGCCACAGAGACAGGCAACTTTTTTCCCCAGCCCAAGTACTGGAAGAAAGGCAGCATCTACCTGTGAAGACCGTTGGGATGCCAGCAAACAAAAGGTGTGTGTGTGAGATTTAGCTGAACATGTTTGGAGCCTCAACGGCCAAGCATCAAGGAGATCCACCTTCGATTCAGCTGGTCGTGGTCCAGGTCTTGGAGGCAGTGAAGGGCCTAAGCTGTGTGCCTGTCACCCACCTCCTGCAGCATTGGGCTCAGGAGCACCTGGGTTGCTTGAGTCGAGGCCTGGCCCTGGGTGCCAAACAGTCTGGTGTGCAGCTCCTGGCGCACGTGCTGGAGACGGCCACCCCCATCCATGTCCTTTCTTGAATGCTTGCTTCCAAGCCTCTTCAAACATGGCAACCGTAAGCCCAACATGTCAGTTGCCGGGCATGCAAATGTGCTCTCTGGACCTCACACTGCTTCTTCGCTTCTTCATTTTAAGTAGATTACTAGCTAGGCCCTCTCTGAACAGCTGTGAAAATCTGTCACAGGTGGCATAAAATTTTGCAGCTAGAAGAGTGATGGGTCTGCTATAAGAGGCAATGTCTCCATATAATCTATATTTTGGAGCAAAGGAAGAATCAGAAGATTTCTAGGCACGCAAATATGTCTAAGATGAAGGCGGAGACAAAATAACAGCGGCTGCTGTCACAGAGCCACGGATTAAAGCGGTGCTTGCTGGCATCGTGGATCACGCAAGGACCCGTCAGTTGAAGCTGAATCACGTTAGGACAGCGGTTGTCTTGATCAGGGTTCCCTCCAAGCTGAGTGAGTGTGAGCTAGTTCACAATTTTTTAGCCTCCGGCTCGCACATTTTTGCCTCCGCTCGGGAAGGAGGGCTCCAGAGCAAACTCATTTAGGCAGCAGCCAAATCGCTCGCTCGCAACTTTAATGCCAGCTGCTCACAAAGTGGAATTTTTGCTCAGAGAAGACTCCACAGCTTAGAGGGAGCGTTGGTCTTGATCAGGGGTCTCAGGGAGGAAGGTGCCTGTTCCAGATGGAATCATCCTTCCCCCTGGAAGGGGAGGGGCTGTGCCGGGATTGGTGAGTTGGCCAGGGAGGACTAATAAGTCCCTGCCCTCCCCCTTCTCTGACTGGAACCTTGCCCCTGTCAACCATGCAATGGTAACCTTCCAGTTAGATTACTGCAATAAGTTTTACACTGGGCTGCCCCTGGGAGAAAATAACTCAAAAGCTTCAGCTAGCACAGGTCACAGAAGACCACTAATCAGTACAAGCAGGAGACCGGACCTGTCGCTCCTGCACTGATCCACGGAGGCTGCCTCCTGTCTAGCTTTCAGGTTCACTCCTAGGGGACTGCCCTTACCCTTAAAGCCCTCACTTAACAACATAGGTCCTGGCTTCCTGCAGCAGTGCCTTCTCCCCTCTAGGTACCCTTGTCTCACAACCAGAATTGCCATGTGGGTATTCCACCCTTTAGCGGAATGAGAACGCACGACGTGGCCTTTCCAGGGGCTGCACTGTACGTGGGCTGTGTCAGCTCGCTGCCATGCTTTCATTGTTTTCGTTCATCCCTGACTGTAGCGCCCACGCGCATTCTTGCGTGCTTGTTTTGCTTAGCGGCTGCGAGTAACTATCGGGAGGCACTCATGAGGCCGTGCGAACTGGCTCTGCCAGACGGTGCTGTGTAACATTGAGGAGAGGGAGCTTGCATCCCACCGCCGGTGTGAATATTTCTGCTCTCATGGGGCAAGGAGAGTCTCCTGTTCATGATGTAATGTCCCGCCGGGAGAATTCCCCCGCGTGCGCTCGGATTTCATTTGCTTAGCCAACTGCCCCATCAGAGTATATGTATTGATGCACCTGCTCTAACCGTTATTCCTAACAATGTACCTGTACAACCTGGCAACAGACATGTATTCTAATAAAGCATAACTTCCCTGGAAAGTATGTGGAGACGTGCATGCTGTTGAACCTGACAGGCTGGCACAGTGGTCAATTAACTGGGAGTCACTGGTCCGTGTGCAACCAGTCATTTTATTGTGGTCAAATATTGCTTTCTTTTTTAAAAAGGGGGGGGAAGCTCTCAACCATTCTGTGAAGTTACGAAGGCCACTGTGTAGGTGGCACCTTTCCCCTAAATTAAAAAAGGAAGCCGTGGATGGTTTTCCTTTGGGGCAGGAAGCAGAATCGTAAGGAGCTCCGTGCAGAACTAGGAGCATAGCACAGTGTCTCCTACTGGCCAGATGCTGCAACTGCAGGCACTTTGACAAGAAAGAAGCAGTTGAACAAAGTTTCCATCCAATGGCAACTTTGCTCTGCTGCTTCCGATCAACACAGCGACCCACCCGAAGTTAAAATAGTTGCAATTACTTTGCTTTGCTTGACCCTCTCATTTTTATACCATCACCCCCCAAAACTAACAATTCCCCCAGCATTCCAGGAAAAAAACCCAACAACCCAAACTGTTCCGTGAACTGAAACAAGGTTTGAGTCCAGTGGCACCTTTAAGACCAACAAAGTTTTATTCAAGGCGTGCACACAAAAGCTTAATTCTGTCAGGTCTGAAAGGTGCCACCGGACTCAAACTTTGTTCTGCTGCTGCAGACCGAGACGGCTACTACCCCACCTGAATCTATGTTCAGTGAACTGTCCTTGTTGATACCTTACCAGTCAATGACAACAAGTTCTGTTCGTTGCGTCACAAGAGGCAGCTCATTTGCTTCCAAGGCCCAGCTGCAAGGCTGCTTGGTGAACATCATGTTTCTAAGGGAAAAAATGGCTTGAGAAACATCCAACCCAGATGTTTTTCAGCTGATCAAAAAGGCCAACCCTGTCCCCAATTTTCTTTGGAACTCAGAGGGATCGCCTGGTGTCCTCTCTCTGCGGCTCACTGCTATTATTGTCTTAGCCTTGAGCACACATATGAAGCAGCGGTCTAGTCAGTCAGACCCTTGGTCCATCAAAGTCAGCATTGTCTACTGAGACTGGCAGCAGCACTTCAAGACCTCAGGTAGAAACCTTCCACACCACTTCCTACCTGATGCTTTTAACCAGATATGTCGGGGATCGAACCTGGGGCATTCTGCATGCTAAAAGCAGATGCTCTACCACTGAGCTTGTATGTGTTTCTGGAGATGGGTATCTACATTTAAGATTTTGATTAATTTAAATACTGAATGAGATTTTTAGAGGTTGTTATAATTTCAATCTAATTCAAATTCCTGTGCTGTAAGTTTTCTAATTTGTACATTTTTAAAAATTGTAATGGCTAATGGCTACAGAATAAATTTTACTATCTATCTACCACTGAGCCACAGCCCCTCCCTTTGTGTTCTTATGAACAGGGTATCTTTTCTCCTCAGTCCTTTCTTTCACTCCCTGCTACCATGTACTCCTTCAAAAACTCATGGGAGGTTATTCATGAAAGCTTCTGGTGGTTTTTTTGGACCCCAGACAGAATACCTGTTCACAAGTTACAAGTGAACACTTATTTATCCTGCAGGCACATGCATACATCTTTTTTTGGTAAGAAAGTGCGAACACACATTCACTTTACAAATGAAACCGGGGACCAAGACCTGGATAAATGTGAAGTTTGACTCTTATGTTCAGTTGCACTTGCATTGAACGCAACACAGTGATTACTCAACATGCACAAAGACAAATCAGGTGTGCACAGATTGTACGATAATCCTTTGTGGCTTGGGAGCAGGGTTAGAGATTTCCCACATAAGTGCCCACAGAAGGCCCTCTATAAGAAACTGAGAAACTGCGCCTAGAGTAACTGTCAATCCAATGAAAGTGAGAACAGGAGACCCAAAGGGATAACAAAGTGAAACCAAATATATATTTTTAACCTTCAGCAGTCAGCTGCAAGAAAGCACAGTAACCAAACTACAAGAGAGACATCCAAGTGAAGCCAACTAGGCCTTAAACATCTGCAAAAGGTATGAAGGGCCTGAAATTCTTCCCACAGCCAACAACTCGATCTCCCCACTGTCTTCACTGCGGCCAATTGTGAAGGCTTGAAATTCAAGAATGTGTGTTTAGAAAAGGCAACCAAGTGCTTATAAGTTTCGCAAAAGAGATTGAATGTACCTCTTTTGGGGAAAGTACAGCTCATAGATCAATATCTCCAGTTCCTTAATTTCCTTAAACGTTCCCCACCCATCTTCAGGGAAGGAGACTGTAATAACCATTCAAAATCTCTACACGATTCTGTAGTTCAGTGAAGCTGCTATTATCCCCCCCCCCCCCCCTGAAATTGTGAATGGTTCTGGTTACTGCAGGGGCAAGGAGTTCAGCTTTCAAGGAACCGTTCCTTCAAAAATAACAGAACGGCCTTGGGGAAGTCTGCTTCATCTAACTAGCTGGATTTGCCCTCAGAATATGGCGTTTCACCCTCTCCTGCCCCTGCAGACTCCCTACCGCTGAGCTCCTGAGCCAGTTCTTCCTCAAGATCATCTGGAAAGTGTCCTTCAGGAGACCCATCCGCGATGCTTTCGGCAACATCCTCCACTTGATCAAAGACCACATTAGCCAAGGACCTTCTGGAAGCTGTTGACCTTCTTTGACTCAGTTTGAACCGTGGAGAAAAACAAAGATCAGCCAATGGTCCATTAGACTTCGGTGTCGACATGCAGATTCCACCTGGGTGGCCTGAGGGAA